CGCATATTTTGTTAACAACAACGCTTATTATTGTGACCACTTACCGTATACCCAACATTGTTGACATATATATACTGGAAATTCCAATTCAAGCTTTATATAATGTACACCCTACAGTATTTGGTGTACAAATTACTATATTATGATTATTGCGCTCCCGTCTAAATTGATGGTCAAAACGTTTTACCAATCGGTACATCTATATTCTCATTAATAATAACCAGGCGACGGATATTGTAGCATTTGCAACTTTTCTTCAGCTGTTCCAACTTATTGCTAAGTATGTCTTAAATTTGTTTTATGTAAGTATATAATAATGAAAATCTAAACATGTAAAGTGCCAATTTTTCATTGAATTTACTAATTTTTAAAAAAATATTGTTACTATTTTTCAATTTCATTCAAAGTAATTTTACTTTGATTTGATTACTTGATAATTTTGTATTAAATATTTATTCGAAGTATACTGTAATTTTTTACGTAATAAATTAAAATTGAACTAAACACATTTATAGCAAAACGTTGTTTAGTGCAATGCTTACTGCAATCAATTTTACTAGTTTTTTACTACTAAAAAATTCGGGCCAACGTCAGTAATAAAATTATATTATACGATAATATTAGTAACTTGTATATATACCTAGTACAAACTGTAAAGGTACTATGCAGTGTAATACAAATAACGAGCTGTTATCACGCCACGTTAATTGCTACGTTCAGATGACAACAACCTTTAGTATTTTCATTCTGAGGACGTTAAATTCATTGTAATAACAAAACAGTATAATGCTTTAATAATCGTTATATGGGCACTCATTTGCTCGTTTATGTACCAACTGCTGTATACTGCAGATATACTTTGAATTTCGCCTCTGTATTCTCGAAATGTAGGTAATAATAGTTTGGTAAACAATACGAAGTCTTTATAATATTCGTCTTCATGTGCGAAAGTCATCGCTTGGGACAACAAGACATATTTAGGTCGTGTATATTATAATATAGAGGTACATTTTATATTCATTTTGCCGCTACACATGCAGTAACAACACGATATTATTGTTGTAGTCGTCGTCGTCGTCGTCGTCGTCTAGGAAAACGAATTGTGAAAAAAAAACCCACGGGAATCGGTTATACTGAAAGAAAAAAACTTACTACAAAGATTAATATACCACGCATACTTCGCGTGTAGTAATAACAATAATAATAATAATAATAATAATAACAATAATGATAATATTATATATCATTATATCGTAACGGTGGTATTTGTCGGTTATACACGCGTTTGCACAGGGGCGCAGGGGGGGATTATCGGGGCCCGAAATTCACGTCCGTTTGCGGTACATAATATTGTATACACTATATCGTAAGACGTAGCGGTGATGGAGGTATTGGTGGTGCAGGAGAGGAGATCGCTGGATTTAATATAACGGAACCCGAAGGTGCTATTGTCATTTACTATATGTTATATATATATATATATATATACATACGTATTGTGCACGAAGAAACGAACACGGTAAAAGGGGTCCCTGCAGTCACCGTCACTCTCACTCTCCCTCTCTCTCTCTCCCTCTCCCTCCACCCTGCACGTCATTCTCGTCCTATCGAAAATTCCCGCTGTCCTACATATGCAGCCACCTATACTATATATATAGTTGATATACCTATCCGTCGAGTTTTGCATATTAATTCGGGTCCCGGTGGGCTTTAAACTGCTACGCCGAACACCGCCGCCGCCGCCGCTTGATGAATTTATGTTTCGTTTATTCATGACGCGCATAGCACAAACCGGTCAACCCTTTCGCGTCCGCTTTCAACCCCTAAATGTTCAGGGCTGACGACGGACGGGCGTGAGGCTGCACAAAAGATGCGGAAATTAAGCCCCCGGGACCTTCCTCCACGCTATCGTCTCGTCGAAATATTACATAATATACTATATATCGTTTCCGGCGGTTTACCGTGCCCCCCTTCCTCCCACGCTGCGGCCGTCTTCTTCTTTAATTTTTTGGTGATGACTATTGTTGTAGATGTACATGCGTAAGGTAAATCGTATAAGTATGGTAAATATTTGACGTGCACCTGCAATTAGTCAGCGGTCATTTTAAACCACACTTAGCGTTCGGACTAGCAGCTAAAGGTCGCCACTTGCCCCCTTCTCCCCTGATACGCTTTTGCAACCGCACACTTGGACCACGGTATACAGGTAATATGCCCAGCCCACGAATACTGCTGTGTAGCAGACTTCTGTTTGTCTGACTTCTGTAGTGTTGTCTAATATCATAATATAGTTATAATTATTAAATATTATTGTGTTTACCACCGATGGCACCTGCGCGTTGTCATTCGTATGTTATTATCATCACCGTCGAGGACAGCGTCCACGAGATAAGAGATTATACGGACGTCATTCGAGGCCAATCGGAGGTCGGCCCAAACGTGGCCCGGCTACGCTGCACAGGCGCTCCGGAATAAGTCAGCTTAGTGAAATACGATCCGTCTTCCTGTGTGCCTTTTTTCACCATATGTGCTCGCGTTGTGGCGTTAACTGCAATATGTATATATATATATATATATATGCACAATACTAAATAATTGTTAGGAATATAGGCTCACAGGACGTCCCGTGTATATTATATAATATACACGTGTTTATATGAGGAAATAACGAACCGCTAATCATATCCAAACGACTTGTATAATGTACCGAAACCGACCCTGTCCGCCATTATAGTCGTTTTCGCGTTTTCTAGGTAAAAACAAAAAAATCAAAATTTCAGTTTTCGACTTCTCAACGACTCGGGATGGTGTCGCGCCACGTTGTCGTCACGAGTGCCGTCCAGTGATTTCCGGACAAACGCCATCGATTTCGATAAATGTGAATTCGTGTTCTAAATCGTCGTGCGGTTTTCAGTCATTAAAAAATATTATCCTTCGCCTGCACAATATTACACCTTGGACATCTCCCGCACCGTCGTCTCGTATAGCAAATAACACACAATGGCGTTCGCATATTATAGTAATTACTGTTTTAATATATCTTGCATTTCAAATTGCTATTGTATTCGAATCAAAAATCCATTTTGACCTATATATTTACACGTAATATGCTACACATAATCTTGCATGTAAACTGTATTGTCTATATCCCGATAATACAATATTTTGTACATCGCTGGACTAGGTCTCAATCCGTTCGCATACCTACATAAAATATGACGTTCAAAGATCACTGGTCCTGAATTCAGCGTTTGTATCGCTTATTATTTAATATGTTTGGTACACACTATACCACTAATTGCTATGATATCATTTCATTACCTGATGTAATCGCCGCTTTCAGTTTTGTACATTCGACACACCCTTTATTACGGCACTTACTTATTGTTATATTTTTTTCAAATTCTAATTTTATTTGTCGACAGTCGTAGAGGCGCAACTAGGGCTAACATGTTGGAGGGATGGGTTGTATCCCCTACCTGATATTACATTTAAACTGATGCATGGGGTGTTGTCCCCACACCACCATAAATATTCACTGAAAAATGTAAAAATTATTTAATGATGTATAATAATCGTAACAAAATGTAAGTACTGTAAAAATCGTTTCCTTAAAAACAAATACAGGCAAACAGCTAATGGTATTTACTGATTACCATATTTATCATAGGTAATATAAAATATATATTTAAATTAAAATAAAAAAATTAGTTGAATAATTTTATTTGGGGGGCTATGCCCCTAACCTCCCTTAGTTGCGCTAATGGACAGTCGTGTACTGTTGTTACATGAAGTTTGGCCCTTGGTTTATGTGAAAAATAAACAAAATTATTGAGAATAAATTATAAATATTTGTAAATCGTTAAAAAAACAAAATCAATCTCAAAATGTGTAAATCATCAAAACAATTAGCGGTGCGATAACGATCGTGGTTTGCGTGTGCCGTGGTACCTATAATGTAAACAACTAATAGGTGATATTGTCATTTATTACAGGTCATATTAATTGTGCTGTTGTGGGCAAATATTGCATTAGACGTTGCAAGTGCACTCTATACACAGTGTATTAATGATGTATGAATGATAAGTTTATTACATAAAAACACAATGATTAAACAAATTATACAAATATCTGTTGTTTACAAAAGTGTTTTCTATAATTAATGTCCATAGAACGTATTGAGCTTGTATTACGTAATGTGATATGATAGTGGCAGATTGTAGGCGATAATGAAAAAAAAACCGTCCTGCTAGTCTGAAGTCTACAGGTAAACAAATGCATTTGGACATTTCAATCGATAATGCACGACGAATTAAACGCTATACAACTCTATAAAATACGAGGATGGGTTGGTGCCCTTTTTTAACCGTTGTAAAAGGGCTAATAAATACACTCCTATGCATCATCTGGTTGGTACGCGTTGACGAACCGGCGCAACTTGTCGCCGACCGTGAAATATGCAATTTATTTGCAAAGTGCACCCGGCGGCGTGGGACAGCTGCTCATGTTTAGAGCCATTGTCGTCCTCGCAGGATATGAACATATCCTGCGCAGCGTTGAATATAATAATGCATAATATATAGGTACGCTCTTATACTTTGTATAACACGTGAACCATAGGTCGGAGGGTGGTGGGGGAGGTCGCACGAGCCCATTGTGACCCGGCGAACGACGCATATTTGTCATCTATTGACACAGCTAGACGTCCCGCGGCCGTTGCGGTGGAGTGCGGAAATGCGCAAAACAAATAGGCTCACAAAAGCCAGCTCGAAATATATCTACACATATACGTATGCTCAAAGGTGTTTGGTTTGGCAAAATGTGGGGGGGGCAACCCGTTCCGGAATTGTGTGTGGGGGGAGGGAAAAAACAGAATTTCGCGTCGAATGGCCGTCCGAAATCCGGCGTGTAACTACATAATATTATTGTGTGCAGCGCAGTTCCTCGCACGTGTACGTGAACGATCGATTGACCTGTGTGTTTGATTTTGTGTGTTTCAGGGGCGGATTACGCGTACCCGACCAAGTGATCGCGACGACCGTCACCAGCACCAGCAAAAACAGAATATCCAACGCCAGCAGCAGCAGAACCGTCAACCGCACAGGTACCGGAAAAACCGCAACCGCGGTCGGACCAGCGAAAGCGACACAGTCGTCGGCAGCGAATCGGCGGCGAACCGGACGACACGTCCAACGTTCACGACCGTAGGACGGCCGCACGTCGACGACCTGCACCGTCGTCACCGACACGACTATCTCCACCGGCTGCACCAGCACCAACACCACCGCTACCAGACCAACGGCCACGATGACGGCGTGCCGCGACGTTGCAGTTGTCGGTGGCCACTAGCAGCCACACCACTCGGCGGACGAGCGGTACACCGCACCGGTGTGTAATTACGGTACTTCGAGCACCACACATTTTCGCGACCGCGGTCCAGTGTCAGCGGCAGGCAAAGTGGAGGGCAACTGCGGCGACCTGTTGAACATGAGCTCGTACTTTGCCAACTCGTACATGCCTTCCGACATGCGGAACGGCGGAGGCGGAGGGAGCGGCGGAAGCCTCGTCGGAGGCGGCAGCGGCGGGGGCGGCGTGCTCGGTGGTGTCGGCGGCATTGTCGGCGGCGGTGGCGGCGGTGGCGGCGTGGTCATGGACCACCACCACCACGGCCAGCAGCACTACGTGGACAACGCTCCGTGCGACCCGACCGCCCGGCAGGGCATACCGCCGCACCACTACGTCGGGCCCACCGTTGGCGGACAGCCGCCACAAGGCATGCCATACCCGCGGTTCCCGCCCTACGACCGGATGGAAATCCGGCAGGCGGCCGCCGCGGCCGGCTACTACAATAACCACCACCAGTCGTCCATGGACGGCTACAGCAGGCCCGAATCGCCTATCGGCGGTGGCCTGGTCGGAGGTGGTGGTGGCGGTGGCAGTGGCATGGGCCAGATGACCATGAACGGCCACACGCCCGTCGTGTACGCCACGTGCAAGCTCCAGGCCTCGGTGGCCAACGGTCTCGTCGAACCGGGCAGCCCCACCGACATGGTCGACATGACCAACCACCACCAGCAGCAGCAGCAGCAACAGATGACGGCTGCCGGTCACCACCATCACCAGCAGCAGCAGCATCACCATTCGGCGCCGCCGCCACAGTCGCACCACCAACAGCAGCAGCAACAGCAGGCGTACTTCAGCAACCTGAGTCCGCACCACCACCAGCAGCAGCAGCAACAGCAGCAGTCCGTCGTTCCGCCGGCGCCTGGACACCACAACCAGGTCGTGGTCAATCCGCACCAGCAGACGCCGCCGCTGCAGACTCCCACCGCTCAGAATCAACAGGCGGTCAACAACAACTCGCTGCCGAGTCCACTGTACCCGTGGATGCGAAGCCAATTCGGTAAGTACGAGCTAGCGGCTCGAATTTTGTTTTATTCAATCATCTGTTCAGCCAGTTACCATCATAAAAATCTTACTCATTTGCCCCCATACCCATGCAAGTCCCTCCCAGTAGGTTCCCTTATCGCAATTTTTTCCCGTTATCTCACCACTTTCGGTCGGCACGTTGAAGGACAGCAATATACGTATAATTCGTTTCGATAACCGACCACGACGGACAATGTCATTGCAGCAACAGGTACCTATTTATAGTCGTTTCTCCGAGTGCGTAACATCACTAACTCACCCGACATCCAACCTGATATACATATAACATTACATATCCAAATAATATCATGAACATCCTCTGACTTAGACTTGAACCGTTTTGTGGAATGCGCCTGTTTCTAATATCTTACGCTATCATATAAATATATCAATATAGAGTTGTTTTATTTTTGTTTATTTTGATTTTGATTTTTTTTTAACCGTCAAAAAGCGGTAGTTTTTCTACGTTTTTTATTTTATTTTATAGTTTGGCATGCGTTTTGTATCGCCACAATATTAATTATTAATACAATATAATAATATTATAACAAAAGCATGGCGTTTTACGTGTAGGCCGCGTTTCGCTGTATACTGAATTTCGATTGCGTGTTTTTATTTTTTAGTGGGTAACGGACATTGTGCAAGGTGACGTAGTCACTCGTGGGTTCGCCATATTTCGCGGTGCATATAATAATATGACGGTGACCATCGTCAATGGGGGTCTTCACCCAGGTGTAATCTTTTTTGTCGGCTCGTCTCCCGCATAAATCACAAGAGAAAAAAATCGAACGTCCGATCACGAGGCACAATGAACATTCGTTACGTATTATCGATGAAACATTTTTTTTTTTATTATTATTCGATCCTTTTTATACGTCTCTATTATATCGTAAAGTGCCGCTGTTTCACAACAGGTCGCATATCGTATACGTGTAGGTGTGCGTCTAAGCATGCATAGCACCTATACCTGTCCACCGTCCTTATATACGTTGAAATCAATCAAATCACTTTATCTCGCGGCGCTGCACGGGTCGCATTGCGGGAAGTCTCGGTTTTATTCGAACGCCGCCTCCGCATGCGATATTTCTTCTAAAGTCGTTATTATTACGTTTATATTTTTAAAATGTCGTGCCCTTTTTTTGATTTTTTTCGTTACTGTACTGCTGCAGTGTCTACACGTTTTGAACCGAGTTCTGAGAAATACTGTGTCAACATGTGGTCTCGCGGCGGCGTTTCAGTCGACATAATATTATACGTTGTCGACTGGAGATTGTATTCAATCCTATATTATAGCCGTATCTATGGAATATAGTATATACCTACTCACTGCACATTGTCTTGGGACGAATATTCGATTTTCGTTGTATTTTATGCAAAACGCGATGGGTTTTTCCTAGAAGTTTTCCGCCCCAAATATCTCTGTGGCGTGGGCGGTTAAAAGGTTGAGAAGGGTGGTGGCGGTCGGCCGTTTTTCGTTGTATAAGATTTTTTTTCACTCTCTTCCTGTTGGTAATGTCGCGCAGTAGGTCCGATTAATGTACCGTGAAATGTATTGCTTCCCCGAGACGGTCGTCGCCTCCGGTAAGCGGACGCGCGCCCGCGCCCAGCAGCCGCACACACGAAAAACCATTGGGGGTGACCCGTTGATGCGTGTAGAGAAGGCAAACGAAAAGCCGAAAAGAGCCAACGATCCGGAATTCCTTTGCTCGGCCGATGAAAAAAACCCACACTGCACCTCCACCGGACGCACGTACATAAATATACGTTTTTATAAACAACCTAAGCAACAACAAGATTTGTCATCTGTAGGCTCGCAAGGTTTTCCCGATCCGTATAGTCAGTTCGCTTGAATTTGAGCTGTAGCCTTTTTGCGCACAGTGAACATGTTATCAGAAAATTCTTGTCATTGAAAAAACAGTTTCTTATCTGTATAAAATCCAAACCACTTTAATCGCGTAAATTAGATCAACGAGATCAACGTGAAATATTAATTATCGAAAACAAAATATTGTGATTATAATGATAATAATCAGTTTTTTTCTTCATTCATGATGTGCAAAATGTGTACAAACATATTAAGCATAGATAGCTTATAAGTTGTAATCTTAATCTATAAACAATTGGTCCTATGGACATTTTTTATACGCGCTGATAGCTCGTTACGTTTTTCGATATTTGTATAGGTAAACGGTTCATTAACATTTTAGTGCAAAACTTTCAAAATGTGTGCAAACGGTTGACCGTGATAACTGCCGGTGTACATGTTATATATATTACAGTGCGGCGGCGCGTACAATCATAAATTACGGATCAACAAGTGGCTGTTTTACCCCCTCCCCTTACTACTGCTGCCGCCCGCTAGTGTAAACACGCTGCAAGTCCACCGTTCACCCCCGAACCCGTTTAAAAGTGCGCGTTTATCATTATCATCATCACTACTACACCATTCCTATCCATCCACACTTCTCCAACTCCGCGATGTTTTTAGTCACATATTACTGTATTATTTCCCGCGATTTCGCGTTTCCGTCGTGTCTGCGATGCTGTCCGAGTGCTAGTCGGGTTACTGGTTTGTTTCGTTGGTGATAATAATTACTATCGGTTTCGATGGTGTCGAGTTTTGATGTTCAAGGTGCATAATGATGAAAACTGTGAAATGTCACTACCACCCCCTTACACTATATATTGGTCTCAATTGATCTCTCCCTCTCTTTCAAAAGACTCGGCTCTACGAAACATTATTACACTGAACATTTTTTTTGTTTAATTACCACTCGTTCGAATCGAATACATTTTTTTGACCGACGAATAATTGCCCAATATTGTTTGACAAATATACACATCGTTATTGTTAGATAATAATATGTACGATATTCAAATACTAAACTCGAAAACAACAGTTTCCGGTAAACAACACAATTAAACGCTATTATGTAATAATACGATAATATAATCCATTATAGCCATTAGCCATCATCAGAGACAGTGTTTATTATACATTCATCATTATTTATTTTTATCATTTGTTTTCTTTTTTATTTTATTTTACATAATTGCGGTAATTTTTGCAGGTCCAGACTCAGGTACGGATGAATTTGCGGTATTTTGGTAATATTTATATATTTGTAGCGACATAACGTGGCAATTATATTTTGTTTTATTATCTTACAAACTCTTATTAGCCTCTATATCTTTTTTATCGTACACTTATTTTACACGCTTTACTTCTTTACTTAATATTACTCTATTTTTTTTTCACCAGCTATAAATAACATAAAAATACTTTAAATAGTTTAAATTGTTTGCACAGTCGCAGGCTTTATAATTTAACACTAAATGGTATACTTATACTATTTTTACTTTATTTAATGTTTATATTTGCATAGTATTTATATATCATGAGCATGATACACAGAGTAATTACTGCAATAGTTTAAACATGTATTTAAGTCATTAAATTATATTGTCATACACTTATACGGCAAGTTTAAACAATCGTATATACACAATGTAAGAAGCAAATGCACTTTAGCCTGTTTGATTATGTGAGGCACGGTCAAATGTTTTTGTTCTGTTTTTCTCACGTTTATTTGACATTCTTTCAATATCTCCACCCGTCATAATATATTAACTAACCTAATATTGGTAGATAAACAAATTATTAAAAGCATATGTTTTATTCAAGAGATCATTCTAGTACATTTGAACATATAATAACATTACTATTATAATATTGTGCAGTAACTGAGATGGGTGTCCATTAATTGTTGATATTGTCGTAGAGCGATTGAAAGTCGTATACGTTCATAAACTATTACCGTTTTTGAGTATTAAACTTACGTTTTTTTTTTTACTTTAGTTTTGCATGTCTATTATTAAATCGGTGAAGGCTTTCATTATACAATATTATATAGCATATCATAGTTATTATGAAACCTCCAATAACATAATATATTTTAACAGTTTAATTGCACGTCTACCTCCCCGATTTGCTCAGGACGTAAATGTAAACAAATTAGTTTGTTACTAAAAATTTTTTTTTTTCAATCCAACATCAAACAGGTTGCGAATGTAGGTGACAATAATGTGCGTTTTTTAAATTTCTATCAGGGACCAAGTGTCGCCTAGCTGATTTATTCATTTTGCAGGCGTGGTTTTTAGCGAATTTCACATAACATTAGGGACCTACCCCGCGTATTTGAAATGCTCAATATTTTTCTCATTATCCGCGTCGTATTCCATTCTTTTATCACAAAATAAATTGTTTGTGATATTCGACATGGACGACGTATATTTTATTTTACTGTGTCGTATGAATAATTATTATTATTGTGGTCGACAATAGTAGTGTGTAGATTTGTATGAATCGAGCAGTTATGCCCCCCCGCCCAAAAAAATGTATCATGATTCTTAAAAACAATGTCTTATTAATTACTCCTCGTTTCTTATATTATTGTAGATATGTTGAAATGATATACGAATTAAATTCGTTTTAAACCTAGAAATATTCTCGGTGAAACAAATATTGAAGGATAACTATTTGTATGTTTTGCAACTGATCAACTCATACCTTGTGCAGGTTAGGTATATGTATGTGCTACGCAATAGTGGGCGGTGTTATACACACGGGCATTTATATAATAACATTTCGAGCGACTGCGTCGTGATTAATCTCTTGGAATTCCTAATTTTTTTGTTCCCGCGTTTATTGTTTCGCTCAGTAAAATACATCAAAAGAAACGCGTGTCGAGCGATCCGTCAAAGTTACGAGGGGCAAAAGTTTTAGATGCGGAGCGCCACCTCCACTGCGGTCCGGGGGGTCACTGCAGCAGCTCGTCGGACCAACGGACGTTTTTATAACTTTTTTTCTGGCAAACGTAGGTATATACAACATACAATATTATAATAATATAACGCTCTCTCTTACTCTTACTAAAAACATAATATTTTTTTCGACGCGATGCACCTCGTTTT